ACAGTTTTTAACTTTGGGCCACAGAGGGCCGTGGGACCGCATTGAGTTTGAATAAAGTGCAATAAACTTTCTCACCACTAGTAGCAGTAGTGCACCACTCAGATGTTTAACAACTTTTTAATATGTAGAAGAAGAACCTTAGAAACCTGCCGAGAAAGGAAACCTTTTTTAAATGAAAAATAGAAGCAAAAATGAAAGTAACTTGTCAAAAAAACACCAAAGTTTGTCACTAATATGAAGAGCAGCTTCTGGTTCTACCATGCAGTATTTTTAAAAGTTCAAAACATTATCAAATACGGTTGTAGATACAACTATATTTTAATTTGCACTTTAAATAAATTTTTGCAGTTTTTTTAATTTGAAACATTTACATTAAACATTTTTAATTTATTCATTCTATGCMCAATTTTATTTTTTTGAATTGTCTATTTTTGTTATTGTTTATATTAAATAGTATATATTTTTGTGCTGATAAGCCTGAGTGGTCTGTTGACTGACCTTTGTATTTGTTCAAATAATTGTTCAAATAATTGTTATGGGCAGGTTACAATATAAAAATATGTTATAATCATCTCTTGTGATTACTTGACAGGAGTTTTACTTTTAAACTGTACGTTTATTTAATTTGGTTATGATAGTTTAGTTATGATGTAAATACAATAAAGAATTAAACCAAGATTTAGATTAGAATAATTATCTTTTTGATCCATACATTGGTAATGTCTGACTGGGCCTCGTGTCACTTTATGTTCAACAAATTGGGCCCCGAGGTCAGAAAGGTTAAGAGCCCCTGAACTAAACTACTTTCCCTTTTCATCATCCAGACTGATCTCACATTTGTGGGCTGTGTCGGCATGTTGGATCCTCCGAGGGCAGAGGTGGCAGCATCCATTCGCCTCTGTCGCCTCGCTGGCATCAGAGTAATCATGATCACTGGAGACAACAAGGGTAACTGGAGATGTTCCCATTCAACCAGCTGAACACACACACACACACACACACACACACACTGCTGTTGTTTGACTTCATTTAAAAATGTGAAAATGCTTGGTTGAGTTGCTCTAAATGCTGTGCACATGTGCATTGCAGGAACAGCAGTGGCTATTTGCAGACGCATCGGCATCTTCGGTGAGGATGATGATGTTTCCAGCATGGCTTTCACTGGCAGAGAGTTTGATGACCTCACACCTACTGCACAAAGAGAAGCTGTGGTCAAAGCTCGCTGCTTCGCTCGGGTCGAGCCTGCACATAAATCCAAGATTGTGGAGTATCTGCAGTCCTACGATGAGATTACAGCAATGGTAAAATAMATTTATTTCTTTGTCTGTTCARTAGAAGCTTTGAWAAAACAGGTTTGTCACAAACGGACGGATTTGTCTCCCTGGTTTCAGACGGGTGATGGAGTAAACGATGCCCCCGCTCTGAAGAAGGCTGAGATCGGCATCGCCATGGGCTCAGGAACAGCTGTGGCTAAAACCGCCTCAGAGATGGTCCTGGCTGATGACAACTTTTCTACCATCGTAGCTGCAGTGGAGGAAGGCAGAGCCATTTACAACAACATGAAGCAGTTCATCAGATAYCTCATCTCCTCTAATGTGGGCGAGGTTGTCTGGTAAGGAGGACTGGTTTCTGTGTGTCTACCTAAGCAACGTGCACCTGTGTTTTTCTTCTAACTGTCGTGCTTGTTTTGTGTGCAGCATCTTCCTGACTGCAGCCCTGGGGTTCCCTGAAGCTTTGATCCCCGTTCAGCTGCTCTGGGTCAACCTGGTGACTGACGGTTTACCTGCCACCGCTTTGGGCTTCAACCCTCCCGACTTGGACATTATGAGCAAACCTCCACGCAACGCTCGCGAGCCCCTCATCTCCGGATGGCTCTTCTTTAGATACCTGGCCATTGGATGTAAGTTACGTCTGCAAGGAGATTGAAAAATCCTTACAGCAACTAGCCTCTTATCGCTAACAGATCTTCTTTTGTTATATTTAGTGTCGTTGACTCTGGTTCAGGTGAGCAGGCAACACCTGTGAGTGACATGCTTTTATTCTCATGCTGACAGGTTATGTTGGGGCTGCCACTGTTGGCGCTGCTTCTTGGTGGTTTGTTGCTGCTGAGGATGGACCAAGGATCACCTTCTACCAGCTGGTAATTTTAACCACCAGCTTTCTGCTTCACGACATCTAAACACAGCGTTCTTCTCCTCTACCCTCGGCTCTAATCTGTCACATTTTCCAGAGTCACTTCCTGCAATGCGGTCCAGAAAATCCAGAGTTCCAGGGTCTGGACTGTAAGGTGTTTGAGTCCCCTTACCCTATGACCATGGCCCTGTCAGTGCTGGTCACCATTGAGATGTGCAATGCCCTTAACAGGTTTGTTTGAACACGGATTCCTGTTACCTTCTCGTGGTCTTACGGTACATTTTTACTCTGGTTTCATTCGTCTGTGTTGTTCCTCAGTGTGTCAGAGAATCAGTCCCTTCTACGGATGCCTCCTTGGGAAAATGTTTGGCTGCTGGGAGCCATCTGTCTCTCCATGTCTCTGCACTTCCTCATCCTCTATGTGGARCCTCTTCCTGTGAGAAATRTTTTCTTTTCTTCTGTACGTCAGTATATTGCTCTCCACATCTCTAAACTCTTACATCTTTCTGGACGACTTTACAGATCATCTTTCAGATCACCCCTTTGAATCTGACTCAGTGGCTCATGGTGCTGAAGATCTCGCTGCCGGTCATCTTACTGGACGAAATGCTCAAGTTTGCTGCCAGGAACTACCTGGAGCCCGGTAGAGAGCTGGAGAAGCCTGCGAGCTGCAAAGCCTGCTCTTTGTTTGCATGTATGGAGGGCATCTCCTGGCCTTTCGTGGCCATTTCCCTCCCTCTGATTGTGTGGATCTACAGCTCTGACACTAACCTGGCTGACATGTTCATGTCCTGACTGACCTGAGCACAACCTCCACTGTTTCCATCCCCCCTCCYACTGCCATCACCGCCCTCTTTCCCTCTCTCTCTGCCTTCTTAAATGTGCATAGCTAGCGTGTGTGAGCGTTTGTAGACTTGGCGTGAGTGTGTGAGCTCGTGTGCATGAGAAGGACCAACCCATCAAATCTAACAAATAATATAAAAAGTTGAACGGTTGTTTGTTTTGACTTGAGATAGGATTTGTGAATGGATGAGGCTTTAAACCGAGTGTTAGAGGACCACCACTCCCATAGCTTTGGACTGTGTTGCTGGTTTCAAAGCAAATAGTGTTGCCATTTTTTGTTAATATTTCCTTTAAGATATGTTTTAAAATTTGTGTCCGATGTCACTACAATTCTTAAAAAAAATACTTTTGTTTAGGTTCCCTCCCAATGAAAAAGARGTTTAAGATATCAAATTATTTGATCTGTACAGAGATTGAACACTATTTTATGCAACTTTTTTTTATGGCTTTGTAAATCGTTTAACCAGCGTGACTTAGAGATACCGCCTTGATTTTTTTTTTTTTTTTTTKKTTTGTTTTACCATTGTGTCTTCAGTAAAAACTGAGAGGACAAGCTCCATATGGCAGACAAAGATGGGGAAAGGTTTGGCTGAAACTAAGAGGAAAAAAAACATCCTGAGAAACAAAAAAGAAAAAAAAAACGCTGCATGTCCTGTGACCAAGCATGAACTCTGTGGTTTCTCATTTCTAATTTATATACGTTCCCCTTGTTTAAACGTAAATAACTTTGTAAATCTATTTTTTTTTTTTACAGTGATGGTTGAAAATAGTCAGTTTTTCTGCACCTGGCAGAGCACAGCTACCTCAATTTGATGAAAGAATAAGTTTTGCTCATCTCGACACGCTTTTTAACAGTCTTGCTGAAAGATAACATCTGAGGTGTGCCTCCTATTTGCTTGTGCAGAAAACAAAAGAACAAAATTGTTTTTTTTTCTCCCCCGCTGTAACTCAATTTTAAGGATATATTTTGTTTGTATGAACTTGTGGCATTCTTTAACTTTATTTGTGTTTTGCTGTGGAGGCAGAGCTGGGTGGGGATGCTGTATGTTTACCATCTCCATAGCGTTTGATTCAAAGGACAGTAATCTTTAAAGAATAATACTAAAACAAGTTTTTCATATGAACATTAATTTCAGATTACATTTTTTTTTTTTTTTTTTACTTTTAAGAAAAATACACTCATGAACCCTTTGAATCAAGTGTTTTCTGTCTTTATTTAAACATTTATTTCTCATGGTTTTCAGTTTCATAACTGATGTTTTTGTATGTGTATGTTTCACTTGAATACAAATGATTTCAGACATGAGTGAATGCTTGAGTTTTCTTGCTTTAACATAGCGACGAGCGATTCCAGACTCAACCTTTTAGACTTTAGAGTGCTTTGTTTGTGGTAGATTATACATTTTGATTCCAAGTCAGTTGCACTAATGGAGCATTAATTTGTGTGTACATTTCTGTGTGTGGAAAAAAAAAMCCCATCAAAAGCATGTGTTTTAGGTAGAAGCCTGGTTGTTCTCACCCACTTGTTTGTCTTAATTTTGTTTTTCTTCAATGCCTTCCGTTGGCTCTCCTGTCACTAGTGTGAGTATCCATTTCTTACCTCCTCCACTAAACACATCATTACAGAAGAAACAAGACACATTGTTTGATCATTGTCTCTCATGTGGAAGTATTAAATCAAATGTTCATATATACATCAAGTCAAATGTAAAACAAATTAAAATTTTCAAAACTCAAACCCATGSTTTCTGCACATTGGACTATAATAAACTCGGCAAATTTATCAAGTAAGAGTTTGTACAGTTTTTAGGAAAATTAGGTRCGTTTAAGCTCATGGTGACAACGGTTCTGCCCACATAAATTTGACGTGTTAAGACATCTGAATAGCAGTACATGTTGTAAAACCTGAATGTATTCCTGCATTCTGTGTTTTTCTAAATGTGAAACTGCCCATGTCTGAGGCATTAATGCACCCCCATACCATCAGAGAGGCAGGCTTTTGTACTCTGCACTAATTAGAGGCTAGCTAGACCCCTCCTCTTTAATGCAGACAATGTGATGTCTGTTTTTTTTTATTCAAATTCCGACTCCTCTGACCAGTTTTTCTTCTTTGCCTCAGTTTGTTTTAAATGAGCTTTGGTTCARAGAAGACCGCGACATTTATTGGTGGTGCAAGTTTTTAGTGTAAACATCTGTTTATTATGTTCCATTGTGAATAAATGATGGGTTTATTAGATTGATCTATTTTTCTAAAACATCCCGACTGTCAGAGTCGGGGTTGTAATAGTACTTATGCAAGGGAGAAATCACATGTCGGTGTTTGACCACATCCCACTGTAGTGAATGTCATGTGTGCTGTTCTTTTCACTCTTCTGACACATGCTTCACAAAAAAAAAAATCCATCTTATAAGATGATACAGGATGTTTAAAAGCCCTTGTATGTTTTTTTTCTGACACGGTTTCTTTTCTCCCCTCTTATAGGTTGGCTTTCATGAAAACTTGCAGTTTAGGATCGAAATAAGAAWCTGGAGTCGTCCAGTCCAGAGTGAACGCTCACGCTTAATATGCAGACGCCACGAAGACCAGCAGTTTGTACCAATAAACTGGTAAAGAGGGACAAAATGGCCGAAAACGTACATTTTTTTCTTTTCTTCTTTTTGTTAAATGACCACAAAYGACACACAACATACTTTTGCATATTTTTTGTGTTTACAATATGACACTATTCCAGTTTTCTGTGCAGCGAAGTTCTTRCAGCCTCACTAAATCCCTCTTGCATGAATAACTCATGTTGTCCCGTGAGGAATTTCCAAAAACACTGGGTTTAATAGTCTTAGCTGTACATTAATATTCAAAACATTCATGCATGTGTTTCAGCTGTATGTAGGCTTTGCCTTTTTTTGTATTTATAGATTCTAATGTATAATACTCAAATGATAATAGGATGGTTTTAAGGTAGATATGTGATTAATAAATTGTAAAATCACTGTTTTTATTGTAATGGTTTGGGAAATTTGCACAACGTTGGACATGGAGAACTGATTCATGCTAAACTTGACTGTGCTTAACTTTTTTATTTGTCTTATTTTTGCCCCATTAGTTATCTTTAAGCATATCACTAAGCCATTTACTTTTCATGATTTAGTCTTTTGCATTAAACAGACTTATTTCTTGGTGAACCTGCAATATAAACATGTCTGGTTTTCTTATTGCCTTGACATTCCTATTATATTATAATTATTATGAATCTTTATCAACTGCTGTAAAACTGTGATTTAAAGTGAGAGGCTGTACGGTCTCATGACACCTGATAGAGGGATGATATTAATCATATGTAAAGAAGACATCAATCATTTATGAAGGTTAAAATGATTGTACATGCATTACTGAGGTTGTGGTTTCAGGTAAATAAAATATTAAAGTATTTGATTTGTCTTCTTGTTGTTTTAATATGATCGTTTTAAAACAACTTAAAGTCCATTGCTCAAAGGCAAAAGCTAAAAATGCTTTTATGTCTAATTGTTACTAAAATATCTCATGAAAGAACAAAAAAAACTTGGAAGTCCTTTTGGAGTCGACTTGATTCAAGATGATTGACTCAGTTTTACAGAGATTGACTTGAGATTTGGTGCGACTGCAGCTGAGACTAAAAATATGAGTGCTACCAGATTGTGCAACATTTTTGCCAGCTGTTTGAGTCAACTCTGTTAGCAAAATATTTCATAAACCATTTGGATTTCAATTAAAAAAAAACATTGGTTGTGTTTCAATACCTAATTAACTTTTGGAACAGTTCAAATACAAATGGCCACTACAGCCAACTAATGTTGGAAAATGCAAAAATGACTGATTTATTGACGTTTACAGATATTAATCTAACAATTGTTCCAGTTGCTGAAAATCATTCAGATACTTTGAATACTTCTAAATGCAGAATACTAGTTGAAATTGTTGGGAGTCAGCCCAGTTAAACCTTTAGTAAAATATTTCATGAACAACTTGCATTGAAATTATTTTAAAACATATTTGCTGTACCCTATTAACCCTATAGTACAATTGGGAAAATAATCTCAGTCAATTGTAGCTGCAGAAATTTAGATAAAATATGAGGTGATAGTAGGTGAAAGTCATAAAACTTTAATAGTAAAACGAAGATAGCTTCAACTTAATTTATAAACAGCAAAAAGTAAATGGATTTTTTTAGTGCAGTACAATAAATTCACCACAAGAGGGAGGTATTTATTAAAACAGAGGGAATCTTTTCCGCAAGCAGAGTAAAACGCTTTTAAATTGAACAAAAGATAAACTTATTTGTTACAAATTATAAACTTTTGTTAAAATTACAAAAATAAGAACTTTATAACCTGTCTTGGATTCAAATGTTATTTAGGCTAACCTTGGGTTTTTTATTTTTGTTTGTTTTTTGTGCGCGCGTGAGGACTCCAATCRTTCTTTTTACGCAGTTTATTGCGATTCCGTGCGTGAGTTCGGATTCCTCTGAAACTACAGGGAAGTGGAGTATTTCTCCTGTTCTGTCTCTTTAACCAGTAGACTCGCTTTTCCTCCTGGTCCCTCCCACTGTTTTCAGCTCCTCCGGTGCTCCTGCGGCCAGAGATGGGGAGCACATCCAGCAGCAGCATCACGTCCCCGAGGCACGGGGTGAGTCTGGAAGGAAACCTTCAAACCTTTAAGGCCGAACAGGTGCACTGGAAACGAAACGGGATGAGGAGTTCAAACTGTTGGTTTACGCCGGACCCGACCGCTTAAACCAGTCGGTAAAACTCGTTTTTTTGCGCTTAAAAAAAAATCCATTCTCCATTATCGCTGCTGATACAAAGGCGCTTTTAGGAGAAGCGGCACCTGGGATTAAAATCATAGAAACGAACAAGAACGAACGGGACCGCTTTGTTTAGAAAAAAGAAAAAGCTGGAGTGACAAGTAAGTGAACGGAGCAGGATTAAAAGACTTTCTTTTTTTATTTTTTATTTTATTTTTTTCTGCCCTTCTCAGGGACCCCTCTCTTGTCACCCTGCGAATACATCATTCATTGTGTCGAATGCTGATTTTTGTTCATGTCATTTAACAAAAAAACAAAAACACAGTTAGGGAATAATGCTCAAGAAACATGAGCTTCAGCTTTTTATCCCATTTTCTCTTTCTGTCTGAGTGAGACGCAGGTTTGTGTTCAGAATGGGATTGCTGCGACAAATGTGGGCAATTAGGCTCCGTGTTTGTCCGCTGCTTTCCTAAAAGCCTGCAACAAACAGCCTCCAGGTTTTAACTGGACCTGGCCATTGTTGTCTGTAAAGACACAGTGGCGTACTGGACTCAGAAGGTCTAAGGGTGGCACCACACCAGCACCCCCCCTCCTTCCTTGCGTCTGAACCAAGGTTGGTGGCAGAAAACAATTTAAGCACAATATGGTGGAGCCGGTGGGATTCATAGAGGCTTGGAAAGCACAGTTCCCCGAATCGGATCCCCCCAAGATGGAGCTGCGGTCCGTGGTGGGCATCGAGCAAGAGCTGGAGAAGTGCAAGGCATCGATTAGACGCCTGGAGCAGGAGGTGAACAAGGAGCGCTTCCGCATGATCTACCTGCAGACCCTCCTGGCCAAAGAAAGGAAGAGCTACGACAAGCAGCGGTGGGGCTTCAGGAAAACGCCGCTCAACGAGGGGGTCGATCCTGCGTCTGTGCAGGGCGCAGAGTCCCAGTCCCAGCAACCCCACATGCAAGAGACTGGTGTGGTTGGAGTAGCTGGAGGATATGTCAGCGCAGGGGTTGGGGACAGGACTCGTTTTCAGCCGCTCGGAGATGCAGCCGGCAGGTCCAAACCGAGACCGCCACCGGCCAGGAAGTCCGCCTCCCACGGAGATGGCCTGGAGTCGGCCTTCGACGCGCCGCAGCAAGCCGAATCGACTTCCTGCGACAACCTCGACGGCCTCTCCCCTTCGAAGCAGAGAGGCGGCATGTCCTTGTCGCCCCGTAGACCCGCCCTCTCCCCACCAGAAAAGGAGCTGCCTTCTGACCCCAAAGACAAGCTGGGGATGGGACTTGGCGTGGCAGCTCTCAGATCCAACTTTGAGAGGATTAAAAGGGCCAACTCTCACTCTGCCGGTGAGGCAGCTAAGGGACATGACAGGCAGCTGCCCCCACCGCCACCGCCATTCTACACCAACATGGAGTTCCATCACGAGAGGGGTTTGGTTCGAGTCAACGATCGGGACGTGTCCGACAAGATCAGCTCCCTGGGCACTCAGGCCATGCAGATGGAGCGAAAGAGATCTCTCCACTCCCTGCCTGGCAATCTGGCAACGGTGGCAGGTGAGCTCCGTGCCAGGCCTGTGTACAGAGGACGGTCTACTGAAAGCACCTGTGGCTACGACGCAGAGTATGAAGATGGCGAGCCCAACCAGCGGCACTCAGGGAGGGCCAATGGCAGCAAACCCCCACCCCCTCCGTGGCAACCCTCAGAGTTCCAGGCCTACTCCAGCGTCTACGTTGGCGGGGTTATGATGGGCGAAGGCGGAAGCGGGGACGGCAGAGGAAGCGGTAGCGGGGTCACGATGAGGGAACACGGYGGAGGCGACGACCACCTCCTGACCTGGCCCCGCCGCTCCTACTCCCCGGGTAGCTTCGAGGACGCCGGCGGAGGGGGCGGCGGCTACACGCCCGACTGCAGCTCCAACGAGAACCTGACGTCCAGCGAGGAGGACTTCTCCTCGGGCCAGTCCAGCCACGTCTCCCCGAGCCCGACGACCGCCTTCCGTCGGCCGTTCAGAGAGAAGAGCCGCTCCCCGTCCCAGAACTCCCAGAACTCTCAGCACTCCTACGACAGCAGCAGCCCGCCAACGCCGCAGTCCCAGAAGCGTCACCACAGGCAGCAGGGAGGCCATGTGGTCATGTCTGAGGCTACTATCGTGAGTGTTCGCAAGACTGGTCAAATCTGGCCGCCTGCTGCCCATCATGACCTCATGCCCCATGGTAGAACATCACATGACAACACTTTCCATGGAGACCACCTAGGTAAGTGGTGGTTGCTATCTTTAATCTATTGTGCCGGGGGGTCTTTTCTCATCTCCACAGAGTAAAGAAACAACAGAATGTGAGTGTCATTTAGTCATGATGGTCCTTTTGCATTTTCAGACTGTTCTTCATCAAACCTTCCTTTTTAAAACCACAGTTCCTGAATGATCAAGTGGCTGATAATGTGTGTGGGATTGTGCGTGTGTGTGCGCACACACTTGAACACTGAAATGTGTGTCCTCTGAATGGCCTTGCGTGGGAGTCAGATGAAAGATCCACCACTGTTTATTCCTGGAATGTCAGTGGGGTGGGCGAACAATGAACATGGTCAGTCTGGGTCGAAACTACGAGTCTGGCCTTTTCTCAGGCAACTTTCATGGCGTCTGTGTGTAATTCAGATCACAGGTGTGTGCTTGTCAACAATGTGACACTCTATCCTGAACCACCAACTGAAACGTTTCATCGGCCTTTAGCTCATAATAAAACACCATTAAGCCTAACCTTGAAGGATTCAAGGAAGGAATGCATATCACCCGCCAGTTAATGGTAGCCATTTAGACACAGCTTATCAACCTTAGCTACTGCGAAATGACTATAACTTACTCAAAATTACAAATAATGTGGCAAAGTTTATGTAGTAGTAGCTAACACAAACTCCTTCCATTATATATACTCGTTTATTCCGTTTCTAGGGTCACTGGTGCCCATATCCAGCAGTCAGTGCGAGGGGCGGGGTACACCCTGGACAGGTCACAAGTCCATCACAGGGCCACACATAGAGACAACCATTCACTCTCACTCACCTAGGGACAATTTAGAGTTATCAGTTAACCTGACAGTCATGTTTTTGGTCTGTGGAAGGTAGGCGGAGTACCTGGAGAGAACGCGCAAACTCCACCCAGAAAGKTCCCCGGGCCGGGATTTGAACCTTCTTGCTGAGAGGCATCAGCTCTACCAACTGAGCCACCGTGCCGCCCTCTACAAACTCCTAGAATTAAAAAAAAAAAACACAAACTTCTAGAAATAAAACATCTTGCTGAATGTGGTTGAAGCATTCATCTTGAGTTGGGGTAATTCCAAAATGTAGTCAGTTGTAGAGCTCAATCCAAGATGACTTTTTGAGAGTTTCATTAGATTCTGTCCTGTTGGTACAAACAAACACACCCAACCACCAAAATGCAACCTTTGAGTCATGGTACCTCGAACTGAGCAGCTAGAAGAACAGTCGAGCAGCTTGGAGACTGAATCACAGGCAACCTGGGCTCCGGGACAGAAACAAAACAAGGACATGTGTTGCTTTGCAGAAAATAGCTCATCAGGAGGTCTTAGTTTACTGTAATTTCTCTCCAAAGTTTCCATCGTAGAGGTTGTGTCAGGTCCTGAATTAAACCAAGCACTTTTCGGGCTGGTTCAAATATTTGATATCATTTTAGGACCTGGAATGTTGTTTACCAAGGTGCGGCTTGTAGCCGTCATGYGCATTTTGGTAAGCTGTGTCTCGGTGGGATTCGGCTATGAAAGTAAATTGTGTTTAAGTGCCCATTGAGAAGTAAGATTTTGGACTCAYGCCCTGTTTGACCAGACAGGCAGCAGGGTGTTGTTGGCATCACAACCCACAACGGTTCCAGGACAGACTGGAACAAGGGAACAGASTGCAAAACTGAAAGTAATAGCAAATGGTAAAGGACAGTTTTCAGCTATTCTCACAAATTAATGCAAGCGTCTTAAGTGGAGGTTATGCTGGTGCAACATATTGCAACTGTCATTCTTCATAGTTTTTATTTGTATAGGCCTGTTCACAGAGCTCAGTGCAGCTATAAATAGTGAAAAAGCAAATGCAGGCAATAATGTTTTTACCCTTGTCTGTCTCTGCATAGGTTTGTGTATCTGTCATGTAGAAAAATTAGTTTTAATGACTGTCTCAGTTGAATTTACATGTAAAACTGATTAAGTTTTACAGTCATTATGATTCAGGAAGGCTGCCATAGCTAATAAACTTTAGCCTGCATTAAAATGACCATAACTCAGTCAGTTTTATAGATATTTAACCTTTCACAGTACATACTCTGAATAAGATGTATTGTGTTGTGATACTACCTGCATCATTTCTCAACATGAGATGATCTCACCAAAACTCTAGCCTGAAAAACGACAGGTGATATGTATTCCTTTTATTTAAATAAAATCAGAGACCCTGGTTGATTTAGGTCATAAACCTTTCTACACTGAATTTTAGCATTAAAGTCTTGTTTTTTTTCTGTTTGGTTGTCCTTATCAGAAATACATGCAGCGAAAACTAAAAGAAACAAACAAAAAACATCTTGCATCATGACAATTAAAAGATAAAATGAAACTATTAATAGTGTGGAACAAAGGCAAATTGTTTTCCCTAATAACAAGCAAAATGTTTTTTTTTTCATTAGAACCCAGAAAGGCAGTCCCGCTGCGAGTGGCTAGCTAATTCTCCAGCTGCTGCGTTTAGGATTATCACTGCACTGTCTCTCCCTTTTGTTTTAGCATATTTTCCACGACAATGAGCCCTGTGGGAAGTTAGGCGAGCTGGAAAGATGGAGACGGGGGCTGGGAGGAGGAGGGGGGGGTGTGTGCAGACAGTGATGCATTTAGTGGGATAATCTGTAATCTGAGCACAAAAAGTAAATTGATGTTCAGACACCCTGCAGAGCGGTTTGTGTTTTGGGTTAAGCTGGAACCAAACGCACGTGATGCTAACAGGAACATGGATGGATTATGATGAGCGATGCCTTCCAGCGTGCTATTTACTGAACTAAGAAGGAAGTTGAGCAAAGTGCGTGTTTTCGTGGGCAGCCGATGATGCTAATAAAGAGTGGGACGGCGCTGTGAGGAAGACTGAAGTGAGGCAGAGTGCAAGGCAAAGCTGTCGTTTCTCGCTTCACCGCTCAGGGATGCGGGGGCTGCGAGGAGGTACAGATGGGAAGAACTCTCCCGTTGTGTAACAGAACCGCACAAGCTCAGGCTCCTCGCACACGGAAACACACACAGACTTGCGGTTTACTTCTCTACCTCTCAGGCTCTGTAACTTTTTAGAGGAAGTATGTTTCCTTGTGATGTAGGTTGAGGTGGTTCAGACCCAGATTGAAAAAAATGTAAATAAATATATTTACGTCCGTTTTGTTTATTGGGAGAAGTAGAAATGCCTGGCAAGTTAAAMCTCACACAGTCAAATGTTTGAAAGCAAATCTTTTTTCTGTTTTTCTTCTTCTTTGTTGGATTGGTTTCAGCAAACGCTCTCACATCAAACATTTGATTACTCATGCTGAGCCAGAGTGCTGACAAGTCTCTTTTATTTCACCATGACTTGATTTTTATATCTTTGCGCAGCAGGGGAGAAAAAGTCTCATTAAATGCAGAACAGAAACAAATTCACTCCGAGATGGCAGAGCCAGAGACAGTGTGATTTATATAAACCAAAATAAACRTAGCACGGGGTCTGACTGATAATGCTGTCACATTAATGCACTCTCAGACTTGTCTTGTGGCTTTACTCCGAGTCAAAAAGCTCCAAATATGCGGCATGCAGAGTTATGACATTCCATGCTTTTGCAGGCTCATTTTTTCAGATTTTTGTTGTCAGTATTTGACCCATTTTTTATGTCCACATAGACAAAATAGTCTCAGATCAACTCGTTTTGAGACTGGCTCTTTACATCCAAATACCCTGCCAAACACACACACACACGCTCCAGTTTCCAGAAAGGTCCATTCTAGTTTTGATAGTGGTTTACAACTATCTAGCGGCACAGAAACTTGATTTACAAATTAATTTAAACAAGGGAAGACTCGTCCATCCAGCCTTACATGTTGGAGCCAGAGTCTGACCCAGAGCCAGAGGAGAATGAAGACAGCTGTATTGTTTAGTGGGTTAGTCCAGACCTTATTTGACAGGTCTGTCTCAAACAATTTAACGTAATAGTTCAGAAAACGTCATAGCAAACAGAGAAAACTGAACGGGTTGAAGAATATGACCCAAACAGAATATAAAAATATCGACGCAGCACGGGAAAGACTAAATTCAAACTTTTAGCACTTCTAGAGACTCCAAGTACACAACAAAATGCACTTAACTGTTAAAAAACTGGATTTTGCACAATATGTCCCCTTTGAAGGAGAACAAAACACTTAAAATGCTTAAAAACAACTAATTTGTTTCCAGTTTTCTCAATTGGTGTATACTTAAAGGGTTAAAATCCTCAATAAAAACAGATGAAACATTGTACTTAAACTATGTTCCCAATAATAGGAAAAGTGATGTGATGGATYCTCCAAGCCTGGGCTACACTAGTTGCATACTCATGATGTTAATTAAGTTACCACTGGAAATAACCAAGGGTTCACCATCATGTTCAAGGACATATCAATCGATGGAGGGCTTGTGAACTGTACAGACCTTTGCAGAGGTTAAGTAGTTGYATTGGCCTGTGGCTGTGCTACTTATTAAACCCTTGAGATTATGGGTTCTCTACCAGTAAGTAAAAAATGCATGATACTAATGGCTAAAACCTTCAAAATCAGATATTGTTGTGGTAGAGAATCCAAAGGTGGACATCATAATGACTATTTACATCTTTTATATACACTACCTGGCCAAAAACAAAAAAAGTCGCCACAAAAAAAAGGTCACACATTGATATTTCATTGGACCGCCTTTAGCTTTGATTACAGCACACATGGATAAGCGTCTGCAATGTCACAAAATTTGTTTCCATCCAGGGTTGCTTAATTTTTTCACCAAGATGAGTCTCACCGCTGCACAAAGCCTTCCCAAAGTCTCTCAATGGGGTTGAGGTCTGGTAGCCAATCCATGTGTGAAAATGATGTCTCGTGCTCCCTGAACCACTCTTTCACAATTTGAGCCTGATGAATCCTGACATTGTCATCTTGAAATATGGCCGTGTCATCAGGGAAGAAACAATCCATTGATGAATAACCTGGTCATTCAGTATATTCAGGTAGTCAGCTGA